GTCACCAGAAGATCTGCTGATATCTGTATGGATATTCTCATTTACCTCCCCGGGCACAATACAGAGGACCTTCAGAAAACCTATATGGATTTCCCCCTAACTAGTTTGGCTGAGTAATTGAATGAAGAAAAAATTTCTCTTTATATCCAATCTAGAGTCTCCATCTTTGATATAAAAACAATAAAAGATCCCTCCTACATAATGAATGCAATGGTAAGGTTCATTGATCTAATCATTCAGCAAATAATTACTTTGTCCTTCCTCCACACCCAAGCTGTGCCCTCAGTACTAAGGACACACATGTGTTGCTCACAAACTAGTGAACATGGAGGTAAAGGGTGACCTACCATTCTTGCATTTGTTCTGAGGATGAGCTAACCGCTTCTCAGAAATTAAAATGCACTTGAGTATTGGGATGTCTCAGTAGTTCCGCAGCCGCCATCCCAAAAGATGCAACATCTCAGGAAAGGGCATGTGTTCTAGATACATATTTTGACCAGGCAAGTGTTTCAGTCAAAATGTACTCATTGTGTTAAATAAGTCTGGAGTGGGCGGTTCCAAAACCCATTGTGGTGAATTACTACGAATTAACCCCCTACCTCAGATGGATGGATCGTCTCGCCCACTCGCTGCATTCAGCCATGAGGTTCTGGGTCTGTGGGCTCACTTTCCCTTCGAATAACATTTCCTCGACCTCCCAGAATAACTGCTGTACTTTCTGTGCACTGGCTTTGTCAAACTCCTAAAACAGAAATGCACATTTAGTTACATGACTAACAGTTGTAGACATAACGGCTTCATAATCCATTATGCTAACATATTTAAAGCATCCCAGAATAACTGCTGTACTTTCTGTGCACTGGCTTTGTCAAACTCCTAAAACAGAAATGCACATTTAGTTACATGACTAAAAGTTGTAGACATAACGGCTTCATAATCCATGATGCTAACATATTTAAAGCACCCATTATGACAAGATAGAAATAAGTGGATTTTGTGGTCAGACACACCAATACTGCAATTTTTATTCTTCTGATAAATTGCACCCCACTCTGACCCACAATTTCTGTAACTATTAAGTAGAGATCATCTACTACATGAGTTACAAGACATACCTGAGATTTTTACATAGATATAGTGATAGGTATAGTTATACACACTGACATAGATATTAATATAGATTAATATTATATTAGTGTAATATAATATTAATCTATATTATATAGGCCCAGTGCATGGATTCGTGCACCATGGTGTCCCTCAGCCTGGCCTGCGCTCTCTCATAATCCGGGACCCCTCGGGGGATGTCAGACAGCCTGTGGGGATCGGGCCAAAACTGGCAGTTCGACATCCCCTGCAGGATGTAGTTGTGTGCGAAGCAGCAGGCAGCTGGGCAGGAGTCTTAGCCGACAGCTCCCAGGCATAATGGCCCTGCAGCATCTGCTGCAGCCTCCACTAGGTAGCGCTACCACAGAGGTGGGAGAGGCTCTAGCCCAGCGGTTCTCAACCTGCGGGTCGCGACCCCTTTGGGGGTCAAACGACCCTTTCACAGGGGTCGCCTAAGACCATCAGAAAACACATATATAATTACATATTGTTTTTGTGATTAATCACTATGCTTTAATTATGTTCAATTTGTAACAATGAAAATACATCCTGCATATCAGATATTTACATTATGATTTATAACAGTAGCAACATTACAGTTATGAAGCAGCAACGAAAATAATGTTATGGTTGGGTCACAACATGAGGAACTGTATTTAAAGGGCCAGAAGGTTGAGAACCACTGAGTTAGAGGCAGTTGCTCCTCAGGTCAAAGGGGGAGAGGTGCCCTCACCTATGCAGACGACATCCATGAAGCCATACATGCCGTAGCAGATCTGAAATAGCAGATCCTGTCGTTGCCACTTGGCTGAAGGGCTGAGTGAGGACCAGATGAGCCAGGAGATGCTGGCGACGAGGAAGAGAGAGCCCAGAACTATGGCCGCAATCTGGACCTTCTCAATGACTGTCAGGGAGATGGCTTGCCACTGTGTGGGAGAAAGGGTTCCAAAGAGTCACAGAAAGACATGGAGGGCCAGGTGATGGTTCGCCCTGAAAAGGAGGGTGCTCCCGGAGCCTTCCTGGAACCCTTCCGGCAGGATTAACACCTGTCTCTTCTGTGCCCTGATCAAACCTAGACTGTGGCACTGCTCAAGTTGTTTGAAACCATGTGTCTGTCCTAGTTTAGAAAGGCAGGATCAGGTAAGTGCTCTGAAGCCAGACCATCTAGGTTTGAATTCCAAATTCTAACTCCATCACTTCCTGGCTGAGTAACCTTGGGCAAGTTTTCAAATCTCTTTGTGCACCAATCTTTAAGATGGGGATAATACTGGTATGTAACTAATAGAATTATGATGATGATTAAAAGAGTTAATACACACCAAGAGCTTGACACACAGAAAACACTACATAATTGCTGTCCTCATTGACGTTACTATCTTTTTCTTTTTTGTTGTCCCAGTGCAGTGCCCAGAACAGTGCCTGGAATAAAGGTGGCACGCAATAGTGAATTGTAAATATCTGGAATATTGTGAATTCTGTGAATGAAAGCCATAAGGGTCTCTCTGGAAAAGTACATGAAAATCTAGAATTTGGACAGTGTGAAGCCATGACTCTCAGCTTTCCTCCAGCTGTACACTCATGAGCAGAGTGCGAGTGGGGGTGGCAGGGAGTTGGCGTCAGGAGGGGCTGCTTATCAGAAGTGAGAGCACATCTCTGAAGAGGTCCTGAGTGACTCAGAGCTGTCTCCTTCCCAGCGTCCCCTCCCACACTTTGCAAATCGCAGCTGTAAGATGGTAGGAGGAAGAGGGGCAAGTGGAGAACTGCTTTTAAAGAGAACAAAGAGAAACAGAAAACAAGAAAGTGCAGGAGATAGAACACCCACGGGCTACAGTGGAGGCTCCCAGTCACAAGGGCTTCACAAAAGGCCTTGTCCGGGATGCTCAGGGGCACTTGAGGGGCTACGGGGGCAGGAGGCTGTGCAATCGGCAGAGCACCCAACAGAGCTGTAGATTAAAAGCTTGCCTGGCTCCAAACCCCACTCCCGAAAATGACAAAGATAAGGTCAAAGGTAACAGTTTCCACAACACTTAGAAGGTGAAAGTAAAACATCTGCTTAGAAATCCTCTAACCAGGGTGATTTTTTAGTTTTTATTTCACCCAATTTTCCTCTTGAGTTCAACTTGTCAGCGTCTGTCCTGAATTTCCCGCCATAGATTTCATATAAGAAATTAAAGGTAACACACTGAGAGGGAGGGGAAGGAAGTAGAAAAAAACAAAACTATTAATAGCTGAGACTCTCAGTTATGGGAGTATAAGTGATTTTTGTTTTTCCTTATATGTTCTGTACTTTTAAGATTTTACATGTGGCATAGAAATGATTTTATATGTATGGCTATGCATATGTTTTATAGGTAATGCTTTTAAAATTGGTAAAAAGATATTTTTAAAATAGGAAAGCAGCCCTAGCCCATTTGGCTCACTGGATAGAGCGTTGGCCTGCAGATTGCAGGCTCCTGAGTTCGATTCTGATCAAGGGCACATGCTCAGTTGCGAGCTTGATCCCCAGCGTGGGGCGTGCAGGAGGCAGTTGGTCAATGATTCTCTCATCACTGATGTTTCTATCTTTCTCTCCCTCTCACTTCCTCTCTGAAATCAATAAAAATGTATTTAAAAAATAAAAATAATTTTTAAAAAATAAGAAAGCAACTGTTTACACATTGTAACCATGCAATTATCCAAAGTATTCTGAGACCTACTTCATCTCTCCATGAGCAAATGGAGCTCCTTTCGGTAGATACACCCGTGGTTAAGGTCGAACTCTGCGTCCCAGACCCGGACCAGTAGCTGTGGGCTTCTGTGGGTGTGGGGCTTCCACTGGGTGAAAACGATGACACGGACTCACTGCAGGAACACACGGAGGCAACATAAATAACATTTCCTGGGAAGAGGTTGGGCTGGAAACTGGCTTTACTTCTCTGAGCCGCTTCGTCTTTCTTTCTTTAAATACATTGGTCAAGTTCACAGCACACAGAGTTTTAAAATACTGATGCAATGTAACATTTCACTAGTTTTAATTTTATCGGAAAATAAAACTGCTTGTTTACTTTTAGAACTTCATA